CATCAGACAGAACTCAACTTTAGCCATGCTACAGTGGCTGTACATGCAGTAGAGGGCCATCAAGTATGGCGCAAGGACAGGCTCAGGGAAGCTGGGCATCTTTTCAACATGCCAGTGGCTGCTGATACAGGACACATGCACTGTATTATCACCATTTGGACAATACATGCATCAGTGACACTGTACCACTTGTGTTTCTTCTGGAGCACACTGTAAGGGAATTCCTGTGAGACGGCTGGTGCATAGAAATGTGCATGCGCACGGAAATATCTGGAGAATAGTGACCAGACGTGCGCATGCGCGATTGCGCACACGCACGTGCATACGCACAGCGAATCTTGGCACCAGGTGGACTATTTAAAGGGTGACTCTGCCTGTGCTTAGTGCTGACTGGTCTTCAGCTGTCCCACATGTCCTGCTGGTTCCTGTGTGATTCCCTTGGTGCTGACCTGGCTTGTTCCTGACCTGACTCTTGATTCCTCTCCTGCTTGATACTCGTTCCTGACCTCGGCTCTGCTCCTGACTTTGGCTTACTTATGATTTGGTACCTCGCTGTCCGCCCATTGATGACCCTGGCTATTGCATTTGCAGGGCCGGTATCTGCTGCTTTGTGCAAAGAGGAACAGGATGAGCATTGCCAGAGCCTTACAGAATTACCTCCAGCAGGCCACTGGTGTGAATGTCTCTGACCAAACAATCAAAAACAGACTCCATGAGGGTGGCCTGAGGGCCTGACGTTCTCTAGTGGGCCCTGTGCTCACTGCCCCATAGAGCTCGATTGGCATTTGCCATTGAACATCAGAATTGGCAGGACCTCCACTGTGCTTTTCACAGATGAGAGCAGGTTTACATTGACCACATGCACGCTGGTGCAGTGGGTCCTGGATTTCTCCTGGCGCACAACAATGCCCGACCTCATGTGGTGAGAGTATGCAGGCAGTTCCTGGTGGATGAATGAATTGATACCATCGAATGGCCCCCACACTCTCCTGACCTAAATCCAATCAAACACCTCTGGGATATCATGTTTCGGTCCATCCGATGCTGCCAGGTTGCACCTCAGACTGTCCAGGAGCTCAGTGATGCCCTGGTCCAGATCTGGGAAGAAATACCCCAGGACAGCATCCATCATTTCATTACGAGCATGCCCCCATGTTGTCAAGCATGCATACAAGCACATGGGGACCACACAAAAAATGGAGTACCATTTTTAGTTGCTCCAATGAAATTTCAGCAAAATGGACTAGCCTGCTGCATCATTTTTTCACTTTGATTTTCAGAGTGTCTTTGAATTCTGTAGGTTGATCATTTTTATTTCCATCAAATGATGGGGCATCCTTATGTTCCTAACACATCACCCAGTCCATATCAGTATAGATCACTGTTCAACAAATTTTTATTTTTTGCCAGTTTTGGAAACAAAAGGATCCATTTCTTAATGAATTTCACATTCTGAGTTCAAATATAACAATGAAATTTGTCAATTGGCTCTAGTTTTTCTGTAAACGGAAAGTTTTCTACTATAGGCGTAATGACTACATAATGCACAATAATTATATAGATAGATGTCTTTCCACAAATATAAAGCAAGTGATATTGACTACATAACAAAGCCTAAATGGCATAATATATTGCATAGGATTACCAAGAAAAATTATAGCCATAAGCTAAGTTGAATCATTTTAACACTTAGGATTCTCACTAGTTTTGTCTTCAGTTTGTGTCGGTTTTGCTTCTCTTGGCTTTTCTCTTGTATTCGAGGAAAGGGCTATCTCTTACAACTGCACGTGACTACATGCTTCAGGTTCTTCCTCACTTGACTCAACCACGAAGGATTCTGGTGCTTTAGGAATTGGTAGCCCCTCTCCATGAGGAACTGGACGTATTGCCGATGGAATATTTGGATAGTGCACAGATAACTTTTTCTTCTTATTTAGCCCTTTTACAATTGGAGGCACCATACAAAAGTAACAATTACTAACATGATCTCTTGGCTCTCTCCAAATCATTGGCACAGCGAAAGGCATAGATGCCTTTTTTCCATTCAACCATTGCTCCAGTGCCGTCCCACAAGAATTGCAGCATATATGTGGTGCCCAGCTCTTGTCCTGGTCTCCTATCTTGCAGCCAAAATACAAGTTGTAGGCTTTCTTAATCATTCCTGTTATCCTCCTTTTTTGTGAGATAAAAGTTATTTCACCGCAGATATAGCAGAAATTATCTGCTTTATTAACACAAGTTCGAGGCATTACTGAGTAGCCTATATAAGCATAAAACGAAATGTAAAGATGCTGTCCAACTACAATCAGCTACAGATACTGCAGCTTTTATGCAGTGAAGTGATGCAATTAAAGGCTAATATTGCATCATCTCAGTATACATGCAATTTTCTATTGGTCACCAGTATCAATTGCGCAATATGCAGCTGAAGTTGCATCATAATTTTGAATGGCTTACGTCATTAGATGGGTGAATATATCATGGAAACTAGAGCCAATCAACATTTTTTAGGGTCATTTTCGTTTTCAGCACCCCAAAATTATGTAAAATTAGCTAATTTTATGCCCAAAACTTTTTACCTGTTGAACAGTGATCCAGCATGATACTTTTCCTCATTGAGATCTGATGTGTTTTCAAAGTGTTCCTTTAATTTTTTTGAGCAATGTAGAATTGTATTCATGAACAATGAATCTCAGTGCTGCTGATCGATGCAAAACGACTGATAATTTTCAGCCCTCGCTTACTGACTCAATTTGATCAAATCCAAACTAAATCAGAACTGAAGTTATGGCTATTTGATTGTTTGCAGATTTGATCATTTTGATTGAATCAAACATCAGTCAGAAAATAAAATCATAGTGTATATAGCCACTATGGTGCAGAGATTGTACAATGAAAATGAAAAATAATGTAGAAAAAGGCTAAACTATTGCTAATGAATATTTTGGCAAATCACAGTTTAAACAATGCTGTTTTATTTATACATACTTATTTTTTCCAGGCCCATCTTACAGTTGATCAAAGTGTAAAAGGAATAAACAAGGTGTTGGACAAACTTTCAGAGAAACATGATGGAATTCTTGTGAACTGGGAAGGAGATATTGTCCCCTGGTGAAAGAATCCTAAATTTGTGCAGTCAGAGTTATGCATGTATTGTAATGTATGCTATTGTCACTTACCAGTACTATATAACCTTTTATATACAGTAAGTTTGTACTGTATTTTTTTTTTGCATCTTTTTTAATTGTTGGGAATTTTAGAATAGCTTGTACTAACTAAATGATCTGCTGTGACTTACAAAGTCTAATAAAATGGAAGATGCTCTGTCTCATAAAAACATATATGTCTGTGTACATTTATATGCATTATAACTGAGCTTCAGACCAATACTGTATGTATAAAAATACCACTGGATGTAGTTATGTGATATTTATTATACAATAAAGGCCTACTTCAGGCAGGCCCCCCCCCCCCCCCCCCCCCCCCCCACACTTTAATGTTTTCTGCCCTTCCGCCTTTAATTAGAAAAAATGTTCATACATACCTTTTCCCAGCAGTCTATGACATTGCTCCTGTCTCCCATCCCAGCTTCCTGCCTTGCTCTGGTTCACGCCTGGCGGTCTACCACCACCAGCTCTGCATATCGCTACTGTTCCTGAATAGGTGGTTTCACCAGTCTTTTAAGGACTCCAGCTGCAAGTTCTTCAGGCAACATCTGCTGGCACTCTTGTCCCCCTGGTACCTAGACACCCTCTGTTCCACAGTGCGGTAAGGGCTAGTGACACAAGTGAGGCCGACCTTGTCATTTCAGTCTCCTATCAGGTACGTGGCACACACACTGCATGACATCATGGGTAAGGCACTGAAGATAGAGCAGAAGGAGGAATATGAGGACTTCTTTGCATCTCAGGGCCCCCTCTATCCAGACATCGTGTTGTTGGGGCACTGAGGCTGAAGATTATCTGGGGCAGTCTTCAAGGAGTTGATTTCCAAACCCCACGATTAGAACGAGGCTGTGGAGAGGTAGCTCAGAACAATGCTGTCCTCAGCAACCACAATGACTTCCTACACCTCCAGTAATCTGCAGTACACGGATTTCTCTCATGCTTCAGAGCCTGGAAAGGACCAAAGGATTTCAAAGGGCATCAAGGAGAGGTCCCAACACTGGTTGGCGATCTTTCTTAAATAACTTTCATAAAGAAAGTCGTAGAGCCCACCCTGCTGTCACAGTAGAAGCAGCGTATGAAACATCTGGAGGATGTGCTATGGGGGAACTTGTGTCACTCATTTCCAGAGGCTGACAGGATAACATCTTCCAGACAAGGTGGCTCTGAGTTTTAATTGGTGAAAAGAGGAACAGTGGTTAGGTGGTTTTTCTGCCTGAGCAATGCCTTTTAAAACATTTTCAGTCTCTGGCCTCCATGGCTGTGTGCTGCCAGCATCTATCAGCAGCAACTGCATCACATAGTGGCTGATTACCTGGGGGCAAGAGTGAATGTAGAGACTCACCACGCAGATGACCCCTCATCTACTGGGTGAGGATTGACAACTTGCTAGAGCTTGCCCAATATACAACTGAGCTGCTGGGCTGCTTGCAGTCAGCATTCTCTCTAAATGTGCATTCAGTGCTTCAGAGGACTTTATGACAGACAAAAGAGTGTGTCCGTCAACAAAAAAACGGTTAACTACTCACTGAATCAGCAGCAGCTGCTAGATTATGTTCTAAAAATGTGTTCAATTTCCATTATTGGTGTTCACCTAAATACAGTTTTTTTTTACAATTTCAGGAAGAAATAAATTGATTCTCTCCCTGCTGGCCTCCCATTAATAAAGATTAGATTCCCTGGCTAAAAACTGTACAATATTTATTTTATATCTCCACAAATATCAAGTCAAATCTGCCCACCCTGTCCTTCTGAAATAGCCTTCCCACCAAAAAGGGTATATTGCCTAAGCTAGCAAGTATTTTCATTTTTTTCATCTTCTGTGCGATAAAACAACAACTGTAGGGCGCAACCTTCTCTCTCTCATTACCAGACAGAGAAGTGTGATTTGTCACTCCAGAGAACATGTCTCCACTGCTCTAGAGTCAAATGGCGGCATGCTTTACACCACTGCATCCAAAGCTTAGCATTGCACTTGGTGATGTAAAGCTTGGATGCAGCTGATAGGCCATGGAAACTCATTCCATTAAGCTTTGTATGCACTGTTGTTGTGCTAATCTGAAGGCCACACAAAGTTTGGAGGTTTTAGCTATTGACTGTGAAGACAGATGGCGACTTCTGCGCACTGTGCGCTTCAGCATGTGCTGCCCCTGCTCTGTCATTTTACGTGGTCTACCCGTTCTGCTGTAGTTCCCAGTTGCTTCCACTTTGTTATAATACCACTGACAGTTGACCGTGGAATATTTAGTAGCAAGGAAATTTCACAGATGGACTTATTGCACATGTGGAAACCTATCACGGTACCATGCTTGAATTCACTGAGCTCCTGAGAGCGACCCATTCTTTTACAAATGTTTGTAGAAGCAGTATGCATGCCTAAGTGCTTGATTTTATACACCTGTGGCCATGGAGGTGATTGGAGCACCCGAATCGAATGATTTGGAGTATATATGTATATATATATAATTTTCTTTTTTTTGTTGGCAGATGCCGAATGCCTGCTCAATTGCTCAGATATTAAGGCCTGTCCAAACTCTTTTTTTAGCTATGGTGCAAACCTATGCATTATTTCCATTATCAGTGTCCAAGGAAAGAAATTATTTTTAATAGATGCTAAATGCTTGTTCAGTTGGTCATAAATTGGTCACATTTTATCAATCTCTAGTCTACAAATTTTAGATTTCAAGGTGTAATCTGATTTCTTTCTCTCCTTCCAAAAATTGTGGCCTATCCAATAAATTCTTAAAAGGTGTTCTTCAAAACGACTTCATTTTTAACTCTCCAAACTAAGAAAGCAGCTCTACATTTATTTATTTATTTTTTTTTTACAAGTAATATGCCTGCACGCTCCCTTTGAAATAGTGGAATAGCAAAGAAGCTTCAAGAAATGTACATCAATTGTTTACAATTGCTTAAGTCTACATGTAAAGGATACCGAGTGCAGGCATTTAGAAACAGCAAGGGTGACCAGTTTATTGTGGTTGCACTTAAGAAACTGATACCAGACTGTGTATGAATAGGGAAGGAGGCCAGACAGGGGCGGACTGACCATTCTGGCACTCGGGCAATGCCCGAGGGCCCAGGGTCAGTAGGGGGCCCCATGAGATGCCCCTGGTACCTTTCATAGGCTTTTTTGGGTGTGGTTTGAGTGTGGTTGAGGACACAGGGGCCCCATCTTCCCCTATTGCCTGGGGGCCCCGTGAGTTGCCAGACTGCTCCTGAGGCCAGCGCTGGGATTAGGAATAAGGGGAGCAGTTATGAAGCAGCAGGGCACAGAATGTAGGTCCTGGAACAGAATCACAGAAGAAAGTCAGGAGCAGTGCATCAATAACCAGGTAGAAGTCACACAGGCAAAACACTGAGCCCGTGAAGGAAGTTAGGAAAGCTTTATAAACCTTCCCAGCAGCCAGCCTCCGGTGACCACTGGAACTATACCCTTCCACTCTGGGAACCACATTACCACCAGCAGGTGATTCAGGTCGAACAGCACATCCCACCCCTCCCCCCCAAGTAGTGGCCTCTGGATGCTCTACATAGCCTTGATCATATTAGTCCATATGAGAGACCCGTGTTTGCAAAAAACCAGCCACCGGGGTCTGGCAACTGGCTGGGTGCCCTGCCACCTGGATAGATACCTCCCAGTTACCAAGTGAAGCTAATCTGGTCCTTAGTGGAGCTCATTGTTATGTAAGGGATACCGAGTTCAGGCATCCAGCAACAGCAGGGGTTACTGGTGCAGTGAAAGCACACTGGCAAAACAATAAGCTCATGAAAGAAGTCTAGCAAAAAGTTATATATCTTTCCACCAGCCAGCCCCAGGTGAGACTTATTACTGGGATCAGCTGGCTACTGGGAGATACCCACTGGCGGCCACCAGAACTACACCATTCCTCTCTGGGAACCCCATAGCCTCCAGCAGGTGTATCAGATCCTGACACTACATTCTGAGCTAAAAAGACATTGTTTATCTAGGATCTTCTGTCATAGAATGTTAGCAGATAAGGAGTACATACTGTTCAGCTATTCATTTCAGTTTTTCTGGCTTGTGGCTCTGAAACAGCACACTCTAATTTTATATTATAGGAGGATCAAACTTGCCTAGTCACTCCATCTTGCATTGTGCCCTGGTAAAAACACTTACATGGTGTACTGCAGGTCTGCAAAATATTTCTTGGTCTTGACTGTGACATACTAATCTGGGTTCTAAATAAAATATGCCTCATATCTTCCTCAAGCATAATGGCCAAGTACAAATGCTTTCTTAATGGGCAGCAAATCAATACAATATGTAATAATTATGTTACTGAATAAAAAAATCACAACAAGCCATGATCCTTGACTTGTTTTGCCCTGTTTGGCAGTTTATATGACGTTGATAGATTTTTTTTTTAAGTATATACTTTAAAGAATATGTTACCTCAAAATTTCATATTCCTGATATATGCCTGTTGTACCATGTACTTGTGTTTTAAAAAGTATCCAGTTCTCTTTAGTTCTGTTTGCTTTTGCTTCTTGTGAGTACATTTCTATTTGATGCAATAAATGTGAGTATTTTAGTGACTATAGGTAACCCAACCTGGTCATAATAAGTGCTACATCCCAATTATGAATAGATAAAGGAATAGCAAAGACCAGGATTTTTAAGGCACCAAAAAGAAAATTATTGTCAGGCAAAAATAAAAAAGTACAAAATGTATGAATATTAATTAAAACATTGCACATATAAAACATGGCAACAAAAAGGTCACTGGTCAAATATCAAGGCCACAGTGTAACACATGAACACCACATGTATAAACCTTTTACGTTTCAATTCTTGGCACAAATCTTCATCAAGGAGAGTGTGTCACAGTGGTTAGATCTACAATATAAACATACAAAAATCACATATACAATATACACATAATATCAAAAAGGAATATATGTAAACTTAAAAGGTGAAACTAATTTACAGTTTTTGAGATAGACTCATTACATGAAAAGCAAGATATTTTTCAAGTCGTGTTTTGGGTAAATAATTTTTTTTGATGATTTTTGGGCTTACGCCTCATAAAAACCCCCAAAATCCAAAATCTCAAAAAAATTAGAAAAATTTTTTAAAAGGGGGAAAATTTCTCCGCCTAAAAAGGTGTCCCACTTAATCAGAAAATTAACCCATAACACCGCAAAGGGTTCCCCTGACCCTTTTAAAAGGGTCTCTCTTTTTGGTTCAGTAGGAATCCCCAATAAAGGGAAGATTTGCTGACCTGACAGTTGTGCAGAAACCCCATCTTGACACCCTCCAAAAGGGAAAGGGAAACCCTCAAAAACCCCCCCCCCTTCCCAAAAAAAGTTGGATTTTTCCAAAGTGCTGTACCCAAACCCAAAATTTAAAATAGAAAGTTATGGAAAAGGGAAAAGTGGGGGAAAGAAAAAGGGCACAAGCAGCGGGGAATGACTGCAGCCTGGAGGGGGATTTAGGAAAAGGCCATTAAAAAAGGTTGGGTTTTTTCCCCAAAGGAGGGGGAAGGGGAGGCAAAGTCAGAAACATAAAAGACCACCCACACACAACGTCCTGGAAAAAGGGCCCCCCCCCCCCACCAAATGTTATATTCCTCTTGTCAACCCGCTCCGGAAAAAACCAAGGGTCAAAACCCCCCCCCCCCCCTTAACCGGGGGCCCTAAAAAAAAACAAAACCTGGTCTGTTGCTCAGTGGCCCAAAGGGCCTTTTTTCTAAATGGGAGAAAATTTTGAAATCGCATTTAAAAACCCAAGGGGATCTGAGAAATCCCGGGAGAAGGGGGGCCCAACCACACTGCAAGATTTTTTTGAGTCCATTTGTAAATTTTTTCCCAACAGTCGGGTTTTGGGGATTTGGGGAACCGGGCACCCTGCTGGTTTTGGTCCACTGTGCTTCTTTAAAGTCCAGGGTCAACGCACCCCGTCTATCAGGGTTTTTGGAGAAACTTCTTTACTTTTCCTTTCCCGAGAGGGATTTTTTAGGGGGTTTGCGACTTCTTTTTCCAGCAGATTTGGCCCCTGTCCACCCCCAAAAAGCACCAAAACCGGGTTCCCAATAAGGGTTTTGGAAATTTACTTTTCTTGTTTGGGCCCAGCAAACTCCCCCTAAACCTTTTGAACCCATAGAAAATCAATTTTTGGGGGGCCATTCCCCAAGAAAAAGATGAGAGACAGGGAACCCAAAACAAATTGCAAAAGAGCTGATGGCCGCTTTTGAAGAAATCCGGGGTCTTCCAAAACCACCTTAGCAGGGGCCAAAAGGTAATAGTTTCCCCTGCCTTTCCCCGCATTGACCCAGTAATTCCCTTCAAAATCCCAACCCCCCCCCCAAATCCCCTATTCCCCCCAATCCCCTTTTTAATCCCCCTTTTCAGAGGCCCAGATATTGTTCTATTCCCAATCCTTCTTTTTTTGATTGCATGAAAAATTTCTAATTTTCTGAGATTGTGGATTGGGGTTTTCATGGGGCTGTAAGCCCTAATCACACACTTATGACAAAAATTTTTGAACTATCTTGTTTTTGCATGAAATTGATCAATCTCATATATTAGTTTCCCCTTTTAAAATTTCCCTTATTTATTTATCAAAGTTTTTTATAGCTTAAAGGGGGTTTTTCCCTCGGGGCTGTACAATAGAGTGGCGGGAAAAATAAAGAAACATTTACAGTAAAAACAAACAGCACAAAAGGGAAGAGGGCCCCCTACTCTTTCGAGCTTCCCAATCTGGGAGGGAGGGGGTAAGGTACAGGGGGAAAATTGGTTTGGTTTGGGGGGGGGGGAGTAAAATTTTGGAGGGGGGAAGGGCACGACTGTTAGGTGAGGTTGGGGTAGGGCCCCCTTTAAGAGGGGTTTAAAGGGAGCGCCTAAAGGTGGGGAAAGGGAAGGTGCAGTCTGATGGATTGGGAAAGTGATTTCCCAAGGATGGGGGAGGCCCTTGGAGAATTTCGTCCCATTTGTGGGGGGGGAGGAGGAGCCCGGGGAGCAAGAAGAAAGGGGGGTCCTTAAAAGAGGCAAAAAGGGTACGGGTAGGCGGGGTTCCCCGGGGGAATCAGGTGGGTAAAGGAGTTAGGGGCAGTTTTTGTGAAGGGCCCTTATAGGTAAAGAGCAAGCATTTTTTGAATTTAATGCTTTGGGCAATGGGGAGCCAGGGGAAAGGGAATGACAAGGGGGGGTGGCAGAGGGGGGAGCGGCTGGTGAGGGGGAATGAGTCTGGGCCGCTAAATTTTTTCGGGGAGGGTCTGAAGCGGGGAAAATTTGCACTGGGATACCGGTGAGGGGGGAGTTCCCGTAGTCGGGGCGTGGGATAATCAGGGAGTGAAGAGAAATTTTTTAGTGGTTTTTCGGGGGAAAGGAAGGGCGTATTTTGGGCGTTTGCCCCC